TCATGCTTCTATTTTGAATTAGTCTTACCTTTTCGTATTATTTTTATCTGTATTATTCTTAGCATATTTCCCCGAGGGCAATTTTAAGAAATATACCATACTTTTCAATAATCAAGGAAAATTCGTATAATATGTTCTTAAAAGGCTTGGAAGAGAAATCACTTTGTACATCCATCAGGTCCAGGTGTGCTTTGAAAGATGTGGTTTTCTAACATTTGTCCACTTTTCTTCTGTATTTATTAGAATATGTCCAAATAATTCTGACAATTTTGTCCAGGTGAAAAAAAAAAAAAAAAAAAAACCTTGAGTTTCAGACATTTTCTTTGCAACTTGAGAGTTGTTGACCAATTTATTATCTATGCTTGCAATTGTTCTGCATTCAACTAGTTACTAAATTGCATTATAGTTTCTTCTGTAAGAACACAGTCTATATCATTTTACACAGGGGTTACCTTGGAAGCCAACCTTTAGTTGATTGTTTAAACCTTTTTAAGAACCAGATTCTGCTTTTTTCCCCATTTATTTAGTAGGAACCTTTGTGTGAACCCCAAAGTCCAAATTCCCAACTCTGAATGAAAAGACTCTTCAAGAATGAATGAATAATCAGTGTCTTTAGCTCTTGAACCAACCTTAAATAGCCAGAGGCTTCTGTATGGAATGACCACAAATAATGCTATGGGGCCATCGCTAGAACACAGCAGTAGCAAATAATACTATTGTTGATAGGCTAGTGAGAATAATCCCACAGGCTCAAAACAGAAAAGAGATGTTTGACCTTTTGTCCATAGCAAAGCCCTGCCCATATGTCCAATAGTACACGTTGACTGTTTAAAATAATAATAAATGAGTTATGTGGTATAGCAGAGGATTAAAAGGATAATTGTGATCAAATATGTTGAAAGTTCAAAAACTTTTCCAGACCCTGGTGCACTGATATATGCATGAGTCTAATGTTTCACCTATCTGACATCTTTAAAAACACAGCAACATTTGTTTGCTGGTGGATTACAATAATCCTTTTGTTACTAAATTATTACATAACTTTTAGAATTATTTCCAGCATCAGTCAAAGTTAATTATATTTATTGAAAGAACATGATACTTGAGAGGTTGCTCCATCCTTATCTAGAGTCCTAGCCTTACATTTGAGTAAGTGTCCATCTCAAGCGATAAGACCTAGTTAGGGCAGAGAAAATATGTCCCGTGGGTTTGTTGAAATGTTTGCTTACACACCCGCATTTGACTGGCTAGGTGGGAGGAACGGGACTTATTTATTCTTATTGTTATTATTATTTGAGACAGAGTCGCACTCTGTTGCCCGGGCTGGAGTGCAGTGGTACGATCTTGGGCTCAAGCAATCCTTTTGCCAGCCTCCTGAGTAGCTGGGACTACAAGCACGTGTCACCATGACCGGCTAAGCTTTGTATTTTTAGTAGAGATGGGGTATCACCATGTTGGCGAGGCTGGTCTGGAACGCTTGACCTCAAGTTATCTGCCCACTTTGGCCTCCCAAAGTGCTAGGATTACAGGCGTGAGCCACCCCACCAGCCAGGAGTTTTTATATTAAATCCAAGAGTTAATTTTTAAATCCAAGAGTTGCAAGACACTGACCTTTGAAGATTCATCAGGATTGTGGTTCTCAGATGATTTCAAAATGCGATGGGGGAACAGGCATATGTATTCCAAGACTATAATGTACATATATTATTGTGAGAATTCATCTGGCATATCAGTCAGTACAAGATTCTATTTTTCCTGGGTCATGCCACCAATTATGCCTAAAGAGAAGAACAGAAGAGAAAATATTGGCTTGCTCTACCCACTCTACTAAAATGGAAAGAAAGTAATTCCAAGGTGAGTCCACCCCAGAGAGCAAATTGGCCTTTGAAAAATGCTGGGAGGAAGGAGTAGCAATTTCTTAGGGCCTTTTACAACACTACCCAGTGGCCTGGTGGCATGGAAATTTGCCTAGCTTCATTTGTGGAGGTTTTGCCACCCTGGATAAAGGAAGGCAGTTTACCAGGCTAAAATTTGTCTATAAGGTTGCTTTCCCCTCCAATGTAGGAAAGAGAGAATAATAAAGTCTCATTTGCAATTTTCACTGGCCAGAAATTAAAAGCGGAAGAGACAATGTTGAAGCTAAAGTATCCCAAGAAATAGCCAATCGACCTATTTATGCCTTAAATGCAAGAAAAAACAATTATTTCAGCAGTTCAGTCAGATTGAGCCAGTTTTCGTGGAATTAGCAAAACGCTGACTGTCCCACAGAAGATGTGGCTTGCAATGGTGGACAGAGGTAAGAGAACTGGTGTTCACCCAAGTTATGTTTAATATAGACACTTCTTTGTTGACTCACTGTGATAACAGTTCCTCATTTGTTAGATCATTGGGTGTAAAGTTACATAATTCAGTCATGCTCTTCTCTCTAGCTGACTATGGTAGCCAGCACTGCCTACTTTTTGCTGTGGTAGATCTTGGACTGCCCAAGCCACTTCATGCATGTTAGAGACATTTGACTTTTACAGCAGTTCAGGCAATTTGGCAAATTTGAAGGAAGGTGGGGAGAGGTGGTTAGGAATTAGCATCTTTTCCCCTTTTTCTCAAATAACTAGAAACGCCTAGTGTCTTGACTTACGCTAGGTTTCTACCCAATATAACAAAATTTCGGACACCATCCCTGCACATTGTCCCGATGACTTTCACCATACTTGCCAAGCACCATCGGGGGTTTTCGCAATTATTTGAAGGGCAGTTTGTACCCAGTCTTCTTCTCCCAACAATTACCATCCTACTCCTATTATCTTGGACTTAACAGATTGATTTCTTGCCGAAAATTAGCTGGAGAATTCTATTTGGATCAGTCCATCAGAATTAAAAAGTATAATTAGCCTGAGAATTCACTCCACTTTTCAACCTAACTGCTGCTTGAATATCTACTCCAATGTTTTGCACTTTGTGCAGAGCATGTAGAACTCTGTCCCCGGGAGAAGCAGTTGATTACAGGAAAGCAGACATGAATTGCTATGAGCTTGTCACTGACGGTCCTGCATATGTGTGTGTTATCAACTACAATTGTCTTCGTAAAATTAAATAAAAGCACGCATTTATTATTGTGGGGCTCCAATTAAGGGACAGCTGGTGCTCCTATTACACTTGCATTAAATGGAAACTTGTAATTTCGCTGTGCAGATGCACACGTTTTAATCAAGATATAAAACTGCATTTGCTTTGTCCATTTTCCAAAGTAACTGGAACCTTACCTCAGGGTTCCTACTATCCTGCAAACTCCGTGGAAGAAGGGGAACAGATTGCACTCATCAGCATTTCCCTGTCTGAAATTCTTAGAGGGAAATAAAGGACTGGGACATTTATGAAAGGAAAAACCTCCAGGAAGGCAGCTGGTGAGTATGAACGTATTTATTTAGCCTATAGTGAGTGGGCATGTTTATCAACTAAGATGAATTTCGAAAGGACCCATTTCGCCTCACCTGTCTGGGCAGTGTCTATGAGCGTCCCGCTGTGAAGCACACTGCCTTTCTCACTGGCACTTCAGTTCCTGAAGCGGCAGAAACTTTGCACCCCCACTCCACCCCCGCCTCTGGGGATGTGTGCGTGCGCCGTTTGTTTTCGCTTTTATAAAATCTGAGCGTTATGATTTGCTCCCCCCAATGAAATGACAAAGGGTCTGTGCAAGGGGGGCTGGACCGCTGGGTTTGGGGGCGAGGCGCCACACCCCCTGAGAATAAAGCCCGCGCTGCGCTCTCGGAGAACCAGGCACGAGTGAGCGAACCACACAAAGAATATATTTCGCTACGAAACAGCGCCCTACAGGACGAAAGTGCCCGCACTCGGAGCGTGAGCCGAAGCGCGACTTTTTGGCGCTCTTTAGGAGCAGCGAGAGGGAGGAGGAGGCCAGAGAGTCCCGGGTGGGCGCGGGAGCCAAGGCGGCCCGCGGCCGTATTCCCGCCCGTCCCGCAGCGGCGCGCCGAGCCAGGTGAGGTTCGCGGCGGCACTGCGGACGCGGGGCGCGCCGCGTTACCTGGCCGGTCGGGGCGGGGCGGGGCCGGGCGGCAGATCGCCTGCGCCGCTTCCGAGTCCGGCGCTCCGGATGCCCGCGCGCAGCTCCGCTGGCCGGCGGAGTTTCGCGGGAGTTGCAGTTTTGGCGCCCAAAGTCCCCTAGCCGGCGCCGTTTCCCTCCGCGTGCCGCGTGTGTCCGGCGCAGGACGCAGGGAGCCTCGGGGGCCCGGGCTGCCCGGGGTCGACAGGGCTCCGCGAGGGAACGTCTGGCGTCCGGCGGAGGGCACTGGCCAGGGCGGAGGGCACGCCTTTGGCGATTGCCGGGCGGGGTTGGGACCGGGGTTGCCATGGCAGCTGCGAGCCCGGGCGGGAGCCCCACGCCCGGCCGCCGCGAGGGAGCTGGGGCGCTCCGAGGTGTGCTCCGAGTGGACTGAACCAAGAGTCTGGGAGGAGCGGGGAGGGCCGGCTGGGGGCCCCGTCCCTTCCCCCCACAGCCCGCCAGCCAGGCCCGGGAAGGGGCCCCGAGGAGCCCAGAAAAGAAAATATTCTGGGCCCTGGAACCGAAAGGAGTCTTGCAAAAGCACGAGGGGGCCAAGGGGGCAGAAGGGAGAGGGGGGACCGTCGCCTCCGTCCTAGAGTCCCCGTGCGCTTGTCTGTAGACTTGACATTTTATACCCCAGAGCCGCCGACTTGGAGCCGGGTTGCAAGTCCCAGCCCTGAAGTTCTGGAGGTGGGGCGGGCTTTAATTTGCTTATATCTAATGATTTCAGGAATCTCGCTTTAAAATGGCGGCATTCAGTATGCACCCCTGCTAAAGGCTCTCCCGGCACCGGGGCCACCTCGCGCAGCGCTGCTTTTGCTTCTGCCGCTAACAGATGGCATGTGCCGCTGCCGCTGCCCCTGTTGCTGCCGCTGAGATCAGGGCCCCTTAGCCACTGGGTTTGCGCTAACAGCGTAAGGTAAGGCTGGAGATAATTTGGGATTTGTAAGAGTGGCTGTCTTCCTAGGACCCCGAGGAAATAATGCCTCGTAAACTTCATTTTACAAAATAGCAAATAGAAGGAAAAGTCATCCTGCAACTTTGTTGCGATTTTAGAGCTTTGATCATTTCTTTCCTCCTTTCCTCCTCCTCCTCCTCCTTTTTCTTCTTCCTCTTCCTCCTCCTCCTCCTCCTCCCCTTCCTTCTTCCTTTTTTCTACTTTCTTCTCTATCTCTTTTTAATTTAAAGGAAATTCTTGCATGGCATATCAGCAGCAAATGCTTTTTAACAACTAATTTCGCCGTTTTCACGCGATATCATGAGCAGTGCCACAGCTTCCTTGCAGAACCTTGTCTCTTCCCGCCCGGAGTCAACACATTTGGGTAGCTCGCTTTTGCAACTGGGGTTTGAAGGGCATGCGGGTAGATTTTAGGAGACTATTAAAAAGAGAACTTTAGTTTTTAACAGTCACACAATAAGCTTTTATGGTAAGAAAACGAAATTAAACCCAGACGAGTAATGAAAGTTGACATTTAAGTGACTCATTGTTATAGTTTCGTAATTAGGGTAGTAGACCTACTGTGCGTTTTTCTGACCACTCTTGATTGATAGATAAATAGAACAGATAAATTTTTTGTGGCTCTAATTAATGTGTTTTACAGGAATTATTTTCTCCTAGATGTTCTTACATCACTGTAAATTGAGCTGGGATCCCCACAGCCTCTCCGTATTCGCGTGTAGACTTCATGGGAAAGCATCAATTAAAACAAAACTTGCAAAATTTAATTTTGAAATGATTGGTACTTTTTTATTAAGCGGACTCTGCTTTAGTCAATAAACGTTTGGGTCATTACTGATACCATGTTTGGAAAACAGACTGTTGGTATGTGGGAATAACTTAATATCCATGCTTCATACTATTTATCTAAATTGTTTTTTCTTTCCCCTCTGATGAAAGGTTTATTGACAGCTAGGCTTATCCGACGCCTCAGATTTTTCCTGATTATTTTCCTATTTTCTACTTGGCCGATGAAAATCTAGTCCTGAATGTTTAACTACTTTTTAAAGTAATTTTTAACTTGTTCCTTATGTGTAATACCTTTGGTGGATGCTTTCATATTTACCAAAACTTCTTCAAACATAGCCTAAAGTGGGCTTTTGCCCACAGCTCAGCTGATAATATTCTATCGCTGTGCACTTCTTCTCCCAAAGCAGTAGAAACTACTTGGTTGGCAGATACTCCTGCTACTAAATTTAGTAAGTGTGGGGAAAGGGAGAAAAATATTGTTTTGCATTTATTAAAGCATGGTGTCGTTTTCTGCCCAGGTGCTGCAGTCTACCTAGAAACAAACAATCAAACGGTTTAAAATGGAATTTACTATACAACAAATTTTCAGCAGTTTTTCATATTATTCTTGAGAGAAGTATGTGGGGCAATTCATTGCTTCATGTCTAAAATGAGAGTTCCTGCAGGTACAACAATAAACACTTGTATTTTGGTAAAGAGAGGATGAGGAAAAACAACTTATCCCATTTTTAGTGATTACGGACTTAGATCCCAGTTCAGAACAGCTTGCCTCTGGGTGTGCTGCCTTGCTGCTAAAAGACTTTGGACCAAATGCATCCTTTAAAAAAGTGAAAATACTAGACCTTGAGGCCAGAATAGACAAACTGGGGGAAATTTTGCTAGTTAACATTCTGCTGCCTCATACAGTGATGAGATTGGAGACCTTATATGAAAACATAAGTGAAGGAGTTTGTAAAAAAAAAAAAAAAGTTTTGAGAGATAATTGATATAGTGCTGGGCTACAAGTGGTGACTGCATGTTTTGCTCTACTTCTAAGGGCTACTTTATTTCTCTAATTTCCTTTGCTACTTTAAGCCATTGTAATGACTCCCAGGACTATTATAAAGTACATTTTTTCCTCAACTGTCCACTTTGGGCATTTCACAACAGCTGCTTTTTATGATTATCAGCTGGTAGCAAAGTACCTTTAATATTCTCTTGCACCTACCCTCTACCTAAATAATGCTTTGCACAAAGTAGGTGCTTAATAAATGTTGCATTTAAAAAGAAAAATGAATAGCTTATAAACTCACAGCGGAATAGATTTTGGGTACAACTTTTAAGCAGAAGGCATTTTTGTGCACTCACAAGAACCTAAACATTCAAAAATTAGTATGTACATTCGCCTAGCTGCCTGCATTGTATGTGCAGGCAACTCAGTGGGTTCTGTTGGCTCTCATTGTACTTCCAGGCACTTGTGTACTTCATCTTCTTGACTAGTAGATGTATTATTAACTATCCAGCTTCACTGTGATACTTCCCAGTAATCACAGTGGCTTGGGAATAAAAAAGGTTTTGTCTTTTGAGTGACTGTATAGTACATATAGCACATGCTGGAACAGTGACAACCTCGTGACTGTTGTGCAGATGTTGACAATATAGTTTAGTAGAGTTTTGTTCTTCACCCAGCTGCCTTTATGTGTGAGGGAGGAGGGGAGTGAATGGAGTGAAAATCTCTAAAATGATGAAGATTTCTATTAACATTTTACTTTGATTCTGCTTATAGTACAATAAATTCAGGAATGTGGCAGAATTTTTCTGTTTTGAAATAAATAATGTGGTCTGATAGGCTTACAAATAGGGATCGGGGCGTAGCCGACAGTACATAGGTTATAGTACGTTTTTGACAAGTAATTTGATCCTGTAATTAAAGTTAGATAACGTTCAGTGCCATGTTAACACTATCAAGTGTCTGTAAGAGCATGAAGGCAACACTCACCTTTACTTCATCAAGGTTCTTCCATGCTGTTGAGTTTTCTTACAGCAATGTCGACTAGGCAGAACAGATGGATTTTTCCCCGTTACAAATGTATGTGATGTCAAGAAAATAGAAATCAGAAGTTGTGTTTGTGGGATTTTTCTGCCTTTCTCTAGGTGTGATGTAGCTCTCACTTCAAATATAGAAAGAAACCTGAGCCTCAGCCAAAATGAGATGGACACTTTTCCTGAAAGAGAAGAAACTGTGTCTGGGAGCAAGTTGTTTAATTGTCAATTAACCAACCAGCAAACAAACATAAATTATGACTGAAAGAAAGCAATTAGATCTATAATAACGTGGGCCTTTATGTCTTACGGATACCAGATGGTTCCATGACGTTCTGTTCTTCCTAAATGGTTATCTGTTGCCTCAAGATAGCCAAATGACAGTGTTGGAAAGGCAACTTTGAGAATTAGGGTAAATAAGGTATTAATTGTCTTATTGGATGTTAATAACATCCACATGACCTGAAAGGGATAAGAAAATATTTTTTTTCGGATTATTCTAGTAAAACTTCAATCTTAATCCATCATTTGGATGTGCTTGGTATTAGATTGAATGATAGTGTTTTTTAAAGATTGATGGGGAAAACAATATAATCTGGGAAGTAGGACCTTATCATTTTTATTTAAGAAATAACGGGACTTCCAAATTGTCTAGGCATACAAACACATACATACATGAGTGTGCAAATTAGTGGTCAATTCAGAACAATTTATGCAGATATACATTGCTTTCTCACTGGAAGATTATAGAAAAATACCTATTTTTACAGCATTCCTCCAATTCTAAGAATAAAGGAAAAAACATTCACTGTAAACTATAATAAATATTTGATATAGTGATGTCTCTCTGAGGCTCAGGAAAAGAGCCAGGGCTCTGATTGTTCAACTCCAGGCAGTTAACTTTCAGAAAAAAAGATGCTTTGCTCAGAAATCAAGAGGAAGCAAGAATAAAAGGAGGCTTGATTTAAATGTGTGTGTGTGTGTGTGTGTGTGTGTGTGTGTGTCTGTGTCTGTGTGTGTTCTCCCTTTGTATGTATATGGTGGTTTTCAAGAAGCCCAAGCATAGGACTCAATTAGACATGCTTCCTAAAATATTATATTGACTCTCAAGTTTTACTTGTATCAGCATTAATTTGGCTCCAATGGAAAATGAATGATTTGTTTTCTGATTTGAGACAGGAGTTTGTTTTGAGCCCAGACAGTGAGTGAACTTGAAGAGCTTAGAAAGAAATGGTCTCCCGTTGAGAAAAGGCAACCTGGACACAAATGCAGGGCATTGGCAGTAGAGACTAGAGGTCATTTGACCTCTTTAAGCCATGGAAGCATCCCAGAGTCTGATAGTTTACTGGATTTTGTTTTCCACTTAGGATCATTCAAATTAGCTTAAAATTGCTCATATTGGATTCTTAGAATCCTGAGCGTCTTGACATTACCTTCAACTGGTGTGAAAAATTGAGAAAGGTTTCTTCAGGCTTACTAAGATTTTCTTGAATGTACCAGTAACTCTTCATTAAGCAGAGGTTATTGGGTCTCTTTACCTCATATCCCCAGTGCCTAGTAAATAGTAGGTTCTCAGTAAAAGGTTGTTAAATAAATGAAAGACTATATTAATCTTTCTAACTTGTTTTTGCATGTTACAAACATTCTTCCTTGTAGCATTATTTCTGTTTTTTATTGACAAAAGAAAAAACAACACCAATAAGCAGACTGAACACTAGATTGAATGACTGTTAGAGGCCACAGGAGCCACTCAAGTCCAGGGAGATGCAACAATGCCAGCTTTGGGGCTGAGACTTTGAGGGCTGGCTTCTGCTACTTTTCTTTCACTTGTAGTTGCATTTAGAATACCTCCCCCACACCCAAGCGATATCAGTCTTCATTATAAAGAAATGTTTACGTAGAAACAGTTCTTTAACTGTTTCGCCAAGTTAAAAATAAAGAAAAAAATCAGAAATACTGTGACTCTGATGCCTCCCGTCATGTATAGTTGAGGAAGTGATGAAGTTACAGACAAAATCCAAAAAGGACACTGGGAGCTGTCTCATTTTCAGTCAGATGCTAATTGCCCATTTAGAGGCTGGATTTGCATAGGTTTTTATTTACCAAGATACAGGTATGAATAGCGCCTCTTTTTCTTGTGTCCAGAAAGCAAAGTCCACACAGTAGAAGAGACAAGAGCTGTCATTTCAGATCCACCACAATCATCTTTTGTGCCCAGAGGATAATCCGTCTTTAGGTACAGTGCTTGCAATTTCTCCTTATGTGGCAGTACAAAGTAACTAAACAAGAGGTTGTGTTGGAGAGTGCCATGGGAGGGGTGGCCTATTAGCGAAATGAGAGAGTGAAAGAACCAGACAGCTTGCATTTTACCTTTTGTTTTGTAGCACTCAACTTCTACACAGGAAAACAAAACAAAGCAAAAGAAAATGCCCTGGAGAATATTAACTGGGCATATATCTCATGAAATAATTCCTCAGTTACTTAATTTACGAATGGGGAAAATGAGATTGTCAAAATATATAATATTAAGGTGGCTGTTTTAAGGTTGGATTCATGTATTATATACTCAGAACACTTTTTTTCTGAGTTCAATTTAAAATATATAGTGACAAATTCAACAAGACCCATGGCACAGAGGTGGGGATCACATTTAACCTCTGAAAAGTAGGCATTTGATAACCAGTTGGGGGTGCTAGTTTGCGAAAGGGTACATTGATATTTTAAAAATTGTTTGCTGTCTGTGATCCTTGGGGATCCCAAAGAAAGGATGGGGGTATTTCTTTCAGAAGTGATTTTGAGAAAAATTTAAACTCCCAACTCCTTTATGTCAGTATTTTCCCCCAAGTAATTGGACAACATAAAGAGAAACCTTATTAGCTCACCCAAATATATGAAGTGAAACATAGTACATGTTATAGAGTTATATTTTATATTTAAGGACTTCCAAATACATAAAATCATTGGGGAGGGGTTGGGGTACCATGCCTGTGTAATCTTATATGTTTCATGAATGCCTATAGCAGTGGCCTCAGCTGCAGACAGAGGCTGTGTCATTATGCACTCTGTTGGCTTTCTGAAGCCAGGGCCAAGGCCAGACTCAGATTGACAGGCTCCACAAGGGAGGGCCTTTTTTTGGGAAGGACCTTGGATTTCGGCAGGACTTTTTGTGGTGTACGTTATTGTTTACATTTATTAAATTTACTTTGTAATGCAAATGAAAATATACGGTCAAAATAAATAAACCTATCTGGAGATAGTGTTAAACATATGCATCTGAGATAATTTGTGAATTTGAGGCCTTAGGTAAATGGTCATCATGATGTTTAGATATCATGACATCAGAACCAGGGAGGAGACCAGTATCAGCAGTGAAGGGCTCCACTCCCACCTCTAAACTTCAGTTCAGTGTAGGTTCCACTCACCATAGAAGATGACTTGAAAATCAGTGTCACCAATCCAAATGAGGAGAAAGGGGTAACACCTGTTGATTGACCAGAGGGAGGGTCTGGGAGTTCTTTTTACAAATTTACATGTGTATTTTTAGTTGACACTTAATAATTGTAATATTTATGAGGTAGAGTATGATATTTCAATACATTATACAACGTATAATGATCAAATCAGGGTATTTAGCATATCCATCACCTCAAACATTTGTTATTTCTTTGTGTTGGAAACTTTCAAAATCCTCTCTTCTAGCTACATGAAAATATAAACTGAAGTGTTGTTATTTTCACCCTACTGTGCTATGGAACACGACAGTTTATTTCTCCAGTGTAACTATAGTTTTGTGTTCATTAATCAATCTTTGGCTGTTTCCCAACCCCTACCCTTCCCAGGCTCTAGTTACCACTGTTTTACTCACTGCTTCTGTGAGATCAACTCTTTCAGCTTCCACATATGAGTGAGAACATGCAGTACGTATATTTCTATGCCTGGTTTATTTCATATAACATAATGTCCTCCAGGCTCATCCATGTTTTGGTGGGACTTTTGACTGACTCGCAAGTTGCCCCCCCTACCCCATGTTTAATCCTATCTTTCTCTGAGAGATAAACCTGGTTTTGCTGGGGAATTCATTTGGATACACTGAGATTCAGTGCGGCAACAATACCAGGGCAGAATGCTTTTGTTTCTTACTGAAACTCCCCCTCCAAAGCTGTTTTGTGATTGAGAAGTTGACAGGCTAGAAAGATGTGTCCTAGGGCTTGGCATTTCGCAGTGTTGAACAAAAGACAGGACTGCCTCCGTATTTTGTGAAGAATGTCATCATCATCATCACATCCTCTTAAAAGGATCTGAAATGTGATTTGATTTAGAGAACTCTCTTACATGCATATACTTTGAACTTGCACAGGTAATTTTGTGGGATGATCATGATGAGACAGGAACTCTAAGAAGCTAGTTTTCTGGGATATTGTAGTCTCCAGCTCTGTCACAAATGAAGGCACATGAAAATTGTGTTTCTGAACATTGATCCTAAATTAACAGGAAACAGCTACGCAATGTAAGATCTGATTCTAAATGCTTTTACAAATATGGGCTTTTATTCCAGTATTCATTAAAATACAGGGGTTCAAGTGACTGGATCTGTAACCTGTGTTAAGTGAATGTTTTTTGGATAAAAGTTACATTTTTCACTTTCAAGCCTAGATCATATAATAGGCCTCCTTGTTGCCTTGTGTCTATTCCCAAAGAAATCTCTGTAATATTTTTAGCCATCTAAGAAAACAGTTCAGACAGAGGCACTCAGAAACAGTGACAAGCAATGACAGGAAATGCTGGTTGCACTGGTCTCCTTCATAACTTAGTGAGGCCACAGCTGGCTGATTTGCTTTTAACTTCCTGTTTGGGGGCTATTTGAGTCAAAAGTAGCTGTGTTTTCCATATAGAGTTTTTTTTTTTTTCTTTATTCTGTAAGGCCACAATAAATCTGTCACTGGGCTGCATGTTTCATATATTTTATGAACTGTATCATGTGGTTTGAGTTTAATTTGAAAGGCAGTGCTTTTACAATCAAGGTCCCTCCCCCCCACTCCCCCCCCCACACGTGCAGCTTTGTGGTCTGGGATTGCATGGGCCTTCGAAACTTTATGGCTTTATTTACACAATAGTGATTGCTGAGGAGGGCATTTCCTGCCAGCTAATGACTGGTTGGAAGGACCAACAGTCCAAATCCACGGAGGGAGGACCATTCATTAAATGCCAGGAAGCAACCAGGCTGCTTTTCTCATGAAGTGGTGGGGAGAAAGTGAAACCACATTCTGCCCTTTGAAGAGCCCAGAGCACCGTGGGCCGAGCTGGGTATGGATTGGTGCCTCCTCATCCATATGGATAATTGAGCTGCTTTTCCTAATAAGTGATTGGATCTGGTTCCACAAATAAATTAACAGGGCCAAACTACCTCTTTCCCATAGGTTACCAAATTGGGCCTTCGATGGGAGGGCATTTCCTGTAGGTCGACGGTCCAATAGAGACTGGCCAAATAAAGTTGAGGGCCCTGAACTTGCCATTAACTGCCTACCAGATAATTCTTAACTCAGTGTTACAGCTACTTGAAAAACCTTTAAGATCACATAATTGAGTTTCCTAATTGGTTGAATAACTGATCATTAGTAAAGTGGACAAAAACTTGGAAAGGAATGGAAAGAATGGTTTGTTTTCACGGACAGTTTAGCAGCATATAGATGTTTTACTTTGATCTACTAATATAATGAAAGTAAATAATACACATGAGGAGTGCTTTGCCTTTTGTGGAAGTACCACTGAGAGCTGTAATAGTAATCATTTAACCCATGACATTTCCAGGAAACAGTTTTGTCCTCAGTATAATTCTTGCCTGCTATAAAGCAGCTGAGGTGTGAAGAGTTTGGCATTGATTTAGAGCAAAAACAGAATAAGATCGAGGCTGGGTTCACATCCAGGAATCCCTGGCTTCCTGGCCTGCCCTTCACTCCCTTAGCTTCCTAACTAAACCTTCAATTTGCTAAAAAGTTAAATGTTTATAAAAGACAAACATCTGTTCTGAGTTTTTTGGTAGGTACCTCCATATAAAGGAGGCTATGTGACAACTTCTCCCCCCCCAATATCCCTGACTCCACAACTTGGCTTGGTCCTTTACCTTGAAATTTAAATGTCTTTCTTATCTTCCAAATTTGGTGGGGGGATGGCAGGGGTGGGCTGAATCTCTGAAATAGAAGCAATCATTGACGGCCAGACACCTGCATTTCTTCATGGAACTGAGTAATCTGTCACATGCAGAGCAAACCAAATATTAAGTTTCATTTTTGAGTCTGGCAAATGTCATTACATGCTTTTTAAATATTCAGTAATCCAGGGATTGCTGGTCATTACCAGTTCACAAAAGTGAAAGGGTTTTCTGAAGTTCAAACGTTCCACAAATAAACTGTATACTCATTACCGTTGTTATTATTAGATGATGCCCAGAGCAGATTTATAAACAAAAAAGTGGCTGATTAACTAAAATATATGTATTTCAAAACATTATTTTAATTTTTGAACACTTTTTAGTTTGAATGTTAAGACACACTAAAATTTTGCTAGCTCAGATTACCAAGACAGTATTCGATTTACAAACTGATTTGGACTAAGAGCAAACAAGGTTTTTCGTAAGTAGATTGGCCTGAATATTTACACACATTTATAATTAGCAACATAACTGTATTTATTTATGCATTTATATTTATATTTATTTTTATTTTTGGAGATGGAGTCTCACTCTTTCGCCCAGGCTAGTGTGCAGTGGTACAATCTCAGCTCATTGCAACCTCTGCCTCCCAGGTTCAAGTGATTCTCCCTCTTCAGGCTCCTGAGTAGCTGGGATTACGGGCACTCACCACCATACCCAGCTAATTTTTGTATTTTTAGTAGAGATGGGGTTTCACCATATTGCTCAGGCTGATCTTGAACTCCTGCCTCAGGTGATCTGCCTGCCTCAGCTTCCCAAACTACTGGGATTACAGATATGAGCCACCGCGCCTGGCCTGGACATTATTATTTTGTTTAGCAAAATCTTTCTTTATAGATAATCTAAAATATATATTTCAAGGTGGTTCAGGTTCAGTTATCACAATTTGGACTAGTGGTGTCAAAATTAATGTAGATTTACTCTACTGTATTTGGATCCAACAGCATTACCTTGTGGTATTAGGAAAGTCTATTTATTCTGTCATTGTAGTTTTCAGTGGTAGGCAACAACTCATTAGTGAATAATGA